TACCCACGCCAACAACAGCAAAACACACACTCCCCCCAAAAATTATTTGTTTTGTTATCAATTAAATCATCAAAAATTAGCTGAGACAGAGGCTGCCTGTCGGTGACAGATCTCCCCTTTCTCTTTGTGCTGCGATTTCCAGAGGCAAGATGCAAGTCACAGAACAAGGAGCACTGGCACAGCTCTCCCCCCCAGCAGGGCACACGGAGAATTCTGCTGCCCTGGAAAACTTTGGAGCTTTCTGGGACTGAATGCCAACGATCTCCATTCATCCCACCCGACCCGTGCTCCTGATGTGCTGTAAAACCCCTGTGAATACCCTTCAGCCCCTCCCTCAAAATGTATTTTCAAATCCTTGCTGGCATAATTGATCCTAATTATTATAAGCATTAGATATTAAATGCATTCCTACACGCAATGTGGCTTCAGCTGTGGGCTTTGAGCAGAGTCTATTGTATAAATAAATGACTGGATTTCTTATTCACGAGCTTCAGATGTGACAGTATTAATTCTGATGCAAAGTAGCCACGCAAGTTGAGATAAAGTCACTACCTGCCACTACGGCTTTATTTTTAAGGTGATTTCCATAATTTCTGGTTCTAAAAAGAATAAAAAAAAACAAAAAAACAAAAAAACAACTTCCAAAATAACCGGAACAAAAATCTTCAGGCCGTTACCTAGAAAACTATCATTAAATCATTTGTTCCGTTTTTATTAGTATCATTGTAATTAAAGGGAATCATATTTCAAAAACATCTCTTCAACAGCACTTATCAAACCCCATCCCTGCAGCCTATCAATTAGGATTACAATAACCTCGCTCCCTTGTTGCCTTTGCCATTAGCATTTTGATTGAATGGCTGTTGAGAAGTGACTGGTACCAGAAGATTGTGTTCACAAAGTAACGTTTCTTTATTCCCTTCCATTGAAGCTTGTCTAGTTGTCTCCAGTTCCTACTCAAAAGAGACAAGACAGTTCCAAAAGCAGTAATTTTGATGCAGGATTATTTTTTTTTTTCCTCCTTCTTCTCAGCGAGGTGAGATAGATTGGGTTAGGCTGGACACAAATGCTATTAAATCACCTACAGCAGATGGGGGGGCTGCTCTTGGCTCTCACCTCGATGCTCTCCAACCCCACAAAGTCCACAAAGGGGCCAGGGCAGGAATGGCCACGTCCCCAACACCTGGGGCACACCCAGCAACCTCTGCAAACACCCCTTCAGGAGACTCAATAAATAACAATAATAACTTATAATGCCTGAACTACTTGGGGAAGTTTTTGGCTACGTTTATTGCTAACAGCATTGAATGTGAAAGGCAACAATTGACCAGCCAAGCCCTGGCACTTTGGGAATGCAAGGGGGAGAGAGAGGAGCCCTCCTGCCATAATAACAGCACTAACGAAGGACAGAGCAGCAACAAATGTCATCAGGAGGGGGATGGATGAATTCCACCACTGCCATGAATTACAACAACCCAGAGTTCATTAAATCTACCACATTAAAATAAAAATGACCTGCCACGTCAGACAGTTCTATTTACTGATATTCCCACTGCTGATGCCTCCCCTGATAAATGACATTCCGTGGCACAACCAGCAGTTATCCCAAAACATTTCAATTACTGGGACGTGCTGGAAACTCCAGCAGTGCTGGGTCACCCTCCCAAAACATCACACTGCCAAAGTTCAGTCTGACAGCTTCCAGGGGGAAATAAAGTCACCCCCAGAGGCTCCCCCTGCGCCGGGGTGGTTGTGGGGACAGTCACTGGATTAACAGAGGATTTTAGAAGGGAGGGATGAGATGGGGAATGACTGCTGGCATGGCAGGACAGGACAGGGCTCGGTCCTGCCGTGCTTCCTCCCCTTCCTCAGCCTCCTCCAGCCCAGCCCAGCTCCTTGGGGAGCCTCTCTCCTCTCCTCTCCTCTCCTCTCTCCTCCAGCAGCTCCTGTCTTTGCTGGCAGGCAGCCAGGAGTGTGTAATGGTGCCAGGTAGCAATTTCATTTTTAAAATGCTCTTATCAAAGATTTAAGGTGAAAGATAAGAAGAGCGCACTACATCATCATAAAGGAAACATTGTATAAGGCATAGTATTTTACAAATCAAAACAGTTATCAAAATGAAAAGGTATGAAATAAAAACAAATGGAGCCTGTGCTGTGGAGAGGAGGGGAGGGAGCTCTGGGTTTGGGGAAATGATCAAATTTCAGGTTTTCTTGACAAGTCTCAAAGCCTGTGAAGAACGGGAGCAGCGACACTTCCACTGTCATTTTAAACCAGAAATAAAATGTCAGGTACATTTACAGAGAGCATATACACACACACTTATTTATATGCCTTTTCATATAAATAGATCTATAAATATAGATACATATTTTTCATACCATTACCCACGGCTGTTGGGTGCTTTTATCAAAGTCATCTGACCTGGAAAGCATCTGTTGTTAATACCACTGTTTTATTATTTATCAAATCCATTTCTTCATAGAATGACTAATTTCATACCCACAGCTGCTCCCATCTTCCCTGTGCAGCTGCTCCTTCCCTGGGCAGCCAGGCAGGTTTGCAGCCCATCCCCAGCTCCCAAACCTTCCAGCTATGGAGCAGGCTCTGTGCCCCTGCCCTGCCAGGGAAGGAGCAGAACGAGGCCAAAGGGCCAGGAGAAAACCTGTGGGATGTCACCACAAGTGGGAAACAAATCCCACACTTCTGTAATCTGATTTTTTTTTGTTTCCCTGCAATTGCACCCAGACAGCACGAAAACAAATATTTTTACCTCTTCATTAGTTTGGGTTTAGGGTGAGGAGGAACAGAGCTGCTAGAACAGGAACAGAAATGGCAAAAGCCAAGCCCCCACCAAGACTTAAAGTGATTTTAGCTCATCTGAACTCCCTGTGAGCTGACAGGGGAATATTTGTTGCCAAAACGAAGCAAATTCTCCTGCCAGGCTTCTCCCTGTGGATCCTGCCCTGATTTCCAGTGCTCTGTGGAACACGTGTGATTCACTGGGACTCCTGCAAGGGGGGTAAGGAGGAACATTTCCATCACCAGGGCATTGCTGTGACTGAAATCAACCTCTCAACTCCCACTGACTTATCCTGGGGCTGGCAATGGTCCCAGTGAAATATGGAGAGATGGTTCTGTGGTCCAAGTGTGAGCCACAGACCCAGCCTGGATCCATGCCCAGCGTTCCCATTCCCACATCTGACCTGGGATTCACTGGGACAATGCTGAGCTCCATTCCCTACCCCTGGAAAAGGTTTTTGGAATCACGCAGGGGAGGGTGAGGAGGGTTCAGGGCACGGGATCTGTTCACTCCTGATCTCCCACAGCAGAGAATTCAGGAAGCTCTTAGAACTGGGAAGGTGTTTGAAAATGGGGAGCAATCTGTGAATTACTGCTCTGGCTGAAAGCAGCTTTCTGGTGCAGAAAACACTCAATAAATTAAAAAGATAAAATCCACAACCCAAATGTGCCAACCTGCAGTTTTCTGCAAGAAGCCGTTTTTCAACTTATTCTATCGGATCCAGAGAAAAAAGTGCCAGATGTTCTTACTTCAGCTTATACATACAAAAAACATACAGGATAAGCAAAATCACTCCATGCCAGGACATTTAATCAAACTAATTAAAGAAATCTTCTATTTCCACCCCCCTGACAAGTCCTTGCACAAACAACCCTGGGAGCACAATTGCTGCTCCCCAGGGAGGGACACACACTTGAACATGTTCAGGTACCTGCCCAGGTGCACCTACAGCTTGGATCAGCATCTCCCCCAAATTCCCAACACTTAAATGTCCAGAAACAGAACCAGAGCCAGGGATGTGAGGATGGGGGAGAGCAAGTGGTGGAGCCTGCTCTGCTCAGGGGCAAAAGCTTTGTTACCAGCATTATTATCTGTGTAACCTCTGTTTCTGCTGAATCTCAAGATTTAGGGGATAGGGGATGTGTTATCTGTTGAAACAGATCACCAGGAGGCTTTTACATATGGCAGTGACCTTGAACAACTGAAGGCTTCAGCAGCACTGGGCACAGCACAGTGGGGTGACAAAGCAGCCCCTCTTCTGCAGCCTCCTCCTCACCTTTGCTGCAAGGGCTCCAAAGATTCATTATCAAACCCAGCCAACAGAAAGCACAGGTGTGGTGTGAAAAACAAAAGCTGCCCCTGTGCACGTTGGAGAGGCCTTGCCCAGTCTGCTCCCTGTGATCCCCTGGGAGAAGGAGGCAGCACACCAGGGAGGGAGGGAGGCAGAGTCTCTCCCTATTTTCATATCACATTTTTGGGCACGCTGCGAGGAGCTGCCTCTTTTCTCAAGGTCAGCAAGCTGATTTTAATTCTGCCTGTTGTATGCAGACTGCCCCTCTATGGAAATGTTGTGTTTTGTTCTCCTCCCGTTTCTGGCCTCTCCTCAATTAACATTTCCAAACAGTCCCACGAGGCTCAGAGAGCTCCCTGCTCATCACTTGGCTCCTACATTGGGGAAGCAAAACGGGCTGAGTTTCATCAGCTGGGTAGATTCACAAACAAGAACTTCTTCGTGGCTTTTAGGGCTTCTTTCTGCTCAGAGATCACCAGGATTTGTGCTAATTTCTCTGTCACTCAGGCTGGCTGCTGGGCAGTGACAGTGAGAAGGCAAACTGAGCTCGTACTCAATGACCTCACTCCTCAAGGCAGCCTCAGCCAGGCACAGACGTGGTGTCTCCAACACCCCCTGCAAGCGTGACAGAACTATGATCATCATCCAGAAAACCTCAGAAATATTTGCACAGCCCTCACTTTATGTTTCCTGAAGAACCTTGCAGAGACCAGAGAGGCTGTGCTGATTTCCTCTGCCCTCTCCAGTACAACTGTGGCTGAGCTGCCTTGTTATTGATGCACTTCAGGACTGAGTGAATGAAGATTTTTCACTTCAAGACCAAGACCATGAATCACAGTTCCACGGGAAGGAAATGTCCTGTTCCTGCTCCTGGTCCTGCTCCTGGTCACCACAGGCACCTACAAGAGCAGCACTGCCCTCTCCCATCTCTGTGCCTCTGCTTTCCCACCTGAGGCATCAGCCTCAGATCTGCAAAACCATCCTTCACTGCACCCCAGAAAGCTCAGCTGATACCTGAAAAGCTGTGTAAGATCTCCTGTGCACAGGTGCCCCAGAAGATGCTGCATTTCCCCTGACAGCTCTGGCTCTGAGGATCCTTCCAGAGCTGCTCCATCCTGGGGAGGGTGAGCAGGATGAGCCCTTCAGCCACTCCTCGACTTGTGCCAGGGCTGACTGAAAGGATGCTGGATAAATCCGGGTCAGGAGGGTCAGGCTGCACAGGGAATTCAGTGATTTCTTCACCCACCAAGACGAGATGAGTGTACAACCTGACTGTCCTTTACAATGTGCTTTTAAGTTGATTTTTAATGTCAGGTCTCTGATACCAGAGGTTCCAAACTAATTGCTGGGCTGAGTTTGCAGCATTTACTGGAGGTTGGAGGGACTTTTAAAATTAACATTACTACTGCAGTTTGTTTGCTAAACAAGAAAATAAAAACGCCAGCCTCTTTCCTGAGTGCTGCTGCAAGTGGAGCCTCTCCCCTTGCTCAGAGGATGCTCAGACATCCCTTCCTCGGCTGCATCCCAGCCAGGCCAGCTGCTCACTCATCTCCTCCTCTGGATGCAATTCTCATTAGGGGTATAAAATTAAGCAATAAGGTCTGACAGACAGTACAGAGCTGGGCAATTACTGCAAGCCTCAGGTGGCATTATGCAGCGTGAGGCCAGGGGCAGCATCACTGTAAACACCCGAGATGTTCCATAATGGCCTGGAGCCTGATGTGCTGCTCTGAGCCACAGCCCGCAGGGCTGGGGGGCTCCCACCGCCCTCACTGTGTTTGTTTTTACACTTCACAGGTGCCCTGACACAGCAGAGACAGGCACCAGCCAGGAAATTAAAAACACAAGGGGGACGGATCCAAGAATTGGCAGCTTTTCCTTTTTTGTTTTGTGTTTGTTAACACCCAGGTGGGGAGCAGGACAGAGCTGGGTGAGCCTTGGGCATGGCACTGCCCCAGAGCAGCCATCACTCACTGTCCCCACCACCTGAGGGGACAAACTGGTGCCAAATGGGGCAAGTTGGGAAGTGGCCCCCAGCCCTGAGAGCAGAGCTGGTGACACAGAGCAGAGATGTCAGTGCTGCTCTGCAGCCTTGCAGCCATTAATGTGTTTAAAAAATGAATATTTATAAGCGGGGATGTAATATTAAAAACACACACATATAAAATATTAACATGGCACATGTCACTGCTGCAATCCAAACAGGCAGGTGTGACTGATGGTGCTCACTGATAGGTGTGCAAATGGTAAGTAATATTAACTAATGAATCTTTGCAGCCCCCACGTGAAGTTCAGAAGCAAATATTTGCTTAAAAATCCCTGCAACCCCCCCCACTGTGTGCAGCTACTGATCCCCTGGAGAAGATGATGAACACTCCTGAGCTCTGTCAGCAAGGGTTAAATCTCTGGGTTGCCAGCACAGGTCCCGGGGATGGATTTCAGGGGAGGGAGTGGAGCCAGCACTTGGTGCAGAACAGGCTCCCTCTCTGGAGTCCCATTTGTGAAGTGATACAGCTGACAGGGGAATAAAAGCTCGTCTCATCTCGGAAAGCAATAACAATAACACTGCCTCCATTTATAGCCTGTGTCACACTTCTCATCCAGAGCCCTTCAAGCACTTTATGTTTTAAAAAAGCATCATTGCCATGTCTGTGGATGCTTTCCCCAAATCTGTGGGTCAAACCTGCAGCAGCAGCTTCTCCCTCAGCCCACAAAAAAAGCACAATCTGAGCTGAGGGAAGGCTCCCTGAGCACTTCTAAGGATACTCAGTGCTATAGCCAGGCTGCTGCCAAGAAAAGCTAAGCTCAAAATGACCAAATTAGGCAATTATTTCTATATATTTTAACTACTCTTTCCTCAAAACTGCCTAGGGATGTATTTTTAAGTGCACATGACCTTGCTTGACTTGAGGGAGATAGTGATAAACAAATAATTGCAGTGACTTAATTATATTTATATCTCATCTATAAAAATGTCAATTATAACTTCAGAGATCAGCTCCAGAACTGGGGTTTTGGCAGCAGGACAGAACACAAAAGGTTATTTTTCTCCTCAGAAAAGCCTCCTCCTTCACAGAGGCACAGCCAGAATCTCTCTAACAGCATCACTCCTGACTCTCCCAATGAACACAACCACTCTGCCAACTCTTCCACCTGCACGACCACTGCCATGCCCTGAAATCTGCTGGATGGACATGGCACAGACACGAAGCTCAACCCTCACCTTCCCCTGTGCTCTGGGCTGTGCTTTTGGTGGGATGGGGGCACCAACCTTTCAGTCTGAGCTCTGTGGGTTTGATAAACCCCCAGCCTTGGGCACACCAGGGTCCACGATGTCACCCTGGGCTGCCAGCAGCGTCCTGGTGCTCTCCCTGCAAGGACCTGGGAGCCAAAGGGACGCTGTCAGCCAGCCCCAGCCCCAGCCAGGTGTCACCCAGCCCCAGCCAGGTGTCACCCAGCCCCAGCCAGGTGTCACCCAGCCCCAGCCTGGCACCCTCCCCACAAGCACAGGGAACAGGGAGAGCCCTGCAAAAGCCCCAGTGACCACAGAGCTCTGCTGCAATCACCATCTGTCCCTGGGGATTTCTAACCCCTAACACACATAGATGCTGTCTGTACCCCACAGACAGCCTGCCTGGCTTTAATTTTGTTTAGTTTTAAGATTAAAGGAGTCCAAATCACGCTCTGTCACCTCCCTCCTCTCTCCACTGCCATCCTTAACTGTGCAAGAGGGTTAATTGAGACGAAAATAACTCTGGGGGCTGGATGGCTTTGAAAAACGTTTAGTATTACACTAATTTCCCACAATTACAGCTTGGGGGATTCACTCACTCAAAATCTTAGGTTTTTTGTGAATCCAAGACATGGGGCTGTGGTGATGCAGGTCCTGGACAGCTTCTGGAGGGGCTGAAGGCTGCAGGCACCCACAGAACAAGCAGAGGCTGGGCAGGGATCAGCCAGGGCTGGGACCATGAGATGAGGAACCCCTGCACCCTCTTCTCCTTCTGATCCTCATGCTGGGCTCAGCTCAGGACATTCCACTCCTGCAGCCCTGCACTGATCTAACTGTGCCTTCCTTCCTCCCTCCTCCTCCTCCTCCTCCTCTCCCAGCCTTGCTGCAAACAACAAACCCACCCACAAACCCTGCCTGGCTGTGGAGCACAGCCCAAGGGCACGGCCCCCACCCCAGCACATCGAAAAGCTTCCTGGAGCTCCTGTCCATAATGAAGTTAGAAGGACATCATCATCCTGCCAGGCTCCCTCCACCCCCAAAGATCAATAACTAATGCTGAACTCCAGATTTTATCTGCACTTTGCAAGGGTAACAAAATAACACCACCATCTTTTTTTTTTTTTTTCCCTCCCTTTCTTTCCAATTACTGAATCCTTTCAAGATTGACCCAGTAATTTTCAGCTCTATGAAATTTTAGGCAGTGAAGAAAAGTGACAGAAGTGATCTGCCAGAATGTTGGGAGAACTCTTGTGTGTGGGTTTTAGAAGAGTGCAGGAATACAGTAGTACAGAAAGAGAGGATCACCAACTCTTTCTTTCCAAAACAGAAAAAAAAAAAAAAAAAGGCACCTAAACAAGCTGACCCAGGGATATTTGTTTATCAAGTGCTGGTTCTTTGTGTGCCCACTGTCACAGCCAGAAGAACCCCTGGAAAGAGACATCCCAGTGATTCTAGGGATTGTCTTGCCTACAGTAGACCAAAAAATAGCCACTCCAATTAAACACAGCTTTTGCAGCCTGCCTTTAATATGGCTAAACAGATCAGCATGAAATGCAAGAACTGAGTCTTATTTTCCTTAGAGAACATCCAGGAATAGCTGGACATTAAAATACTCCTGCAGAGGCACAGCATGACTGGCCTGATGGCATTTTTAAGGTTATAGAATCACAGAATCATTAAGGTTGGAAAAGTCCTCCAAGATCAAGTCCACCACAGGCTCCATGCCAGGCACCAAGCTTTATTTTGGGTGGGGTTTTCAAGCCGGGCTGAGCAGTTTTGGAAACTCCTCTTCCCCTGCCTGGTTCAATGCCTGCATTTCCACCGAGCAGTGCTGGGACAGGTGAGCTCCACACCTCCCCAAATAACACACACGTGCCAGAATTATGTCAACAAACCCTCTCCATTTTCTTGCAAGGAAATTTATCTCACCTTCTAGCAGTAGGGAGTGAATTTTTAATCCTTTTCCCTTCCCGTGCCCACAATGATTATTCCAGGCATAGACTAACGACAGCAAACCACAGTGGATATTTTATCTGCCATTTCTCTTTCCCGTGGCTAATTTGAAGATACAGATTGCAACCCACAAGTGGTTTTAAGAATTGCCATTAACACTGTTGCTGCACACTCCCGCATTTTAAACATGCTTCCAACACAATCAGAGTGTCACAATTTGTAAAATCTGGGGTGGTTTTATCGGCAGAACTCACTTCATCACCACAGCCCTGAGCCAGTTCATTAGGCTGATTAGCACTAGCTACCTGCACAGAGCAGGAAAAAAAATGCCACAAAAGGCTGGATAAATTCAAGTGTGAAGATGAAGAGGACTCTTACTCTGCCTTTTGCACTTGATTTTTCCTTCCACCTGTACTTGGCAGGGTGAGCCCCTGAAGCTCAGCCCTCCCTGTGCTTTGGCAGCCCCTGGGAACCAGCCAGGCTCCCTGCTCACAGGAATTCTGGCTAATCCCAGCAACCCAGCAGTGGGTAAGCCTGTTCCCTGGATACAGCCTCCCAAACACAGCTGGCTCTCCTGGGTTCCCCTAGAACTCCTCCTTTCACCAGGAGAGGGACTCCAGCCCATGCTGTCCCCAGAGTTAGTGACAGACCTGGCTGCACAGCCTGGGCAGCACAGGGGAGGCTCTGGGGTGACATCACCTCCACCCACTGGCATCTGGAGCCTGCTTTTGGTCCTTTGGGGCTTTTAGTTCCTCTCCACTTAGATCTCCTCCAGGAGCTTACAGTGGGATGTTAATGTGGAGCAAAAAGTCATGGCTTGCATGTAGGAAAAACAAGCTATTAAAAGAATTAACCAGTGAAATAAATTCACAGAATTCCCAGGGGGGAAAAAAAGAAAGGATGACCTGTTGCCTCTCATCTTCAACACAAACACACACACACAGTGGGGAAAAAGCCCTTTGTGGAAAATCCAAGAGGTTTCATGGCAACTGAGGTGCCCCCCAGACCTTTACTCCTGGTCAGTCAGTGGAAAGATGTTTTTGGACAAGGAATCCATCCTGCAGGGCTCATTACCCTGCAGGCTCCCTGGCACACTGCTGCAGCCTCCCCTAAGAGCACAGAAATGCTGAAGCAGGGCTGCTAGAGCAGAGCTCAGCACTCACAGAGCTCAGCCACCAAGCCTTGCCTTGGGAAGTGCTTAGAGCAGCACAGAGCCCCCAGCAGGGACAGAGCAGGGGTCACCTTGAGGAACAGCAGACAAGCAGCCACAGCAAGGGCTCCCACAGCCCTGCTCTGCTCCCGGGTCCCTGCAGAGCCTGGCCAGGGCTCCAGGTGTTGGGACCACAGCAGGGACAGGGCTCACTGCAGGCACAGCCAGGTGGGAACCCAGCTCTGGGATCTGGGACATTTCAGCAGGTGGGCACTGCCTCCTGCCCTGTGTCACAGGCCAAACCTGCTGAGCACAAGCCTGGCTGGGACCAGAGCCCCCCAGTTCTCCTTGCCCTCAGACCACAGGGCCCCTGTGCCCAGCACCAAAGCTCCACATAGGGCAGCTTTTAAATGCAACAAACAACTGCCAAGATCCTGAATGGAGAGGAATATTTATGGCTCATTTAAGGGTGATTGCGTGGAGAAGGGTGGAAAATTCCCTGGATATAAAAGGAAGTTGTCAGGGGTTGAACTTTTCAACCTCAGTAAGAGCTTTGAAATGGAAGGGCACTGGATGCTCACACACCCAGGCTCGGAAGAGCTGATTCTCCTGAGCAAGCCTCTTGCTCCCTGCTGCTGGACTTTCCAGGGTCCCTGACTTCAGAGAGGAATCAGTGCCTGGGAGGGAGGAATTGCTGTCCCGGAGCTTGCCTGACTCACCCAGCCATCTGCTCACCCGGAGTCTCTGGTTACAGCACACTCAGAGCAGTGAGCAGCTCTGCTGACCCTGTGTGGACATGGAAGGGAGTGGAGATGGCTGCCCTCCCACCCTGGATGGGCACAGGCTCCCTCCAGCCCCTGGCAGTGTCCCCAAAACACTGAGACCACCAGACCACGCCAGGGGCTGCAGCCACGTGCTGCTTCCCACCCCAAACCAGGGCACAAAATCCATCCCCACCTCCATCTCCACCTCCACCTCCATCCAGGTATCCAGGGGCCCTGGAGCCTGTCCCCAGGGCAGCTCCTGTGGCTGCTCGCAGCAGTGCAGAGCTGCCAGAGCTCAGGAATGCAGCAGGAATGGGAACAGCTCTCCCCGAGACAGAGCAGCACTGCTCATTCCCACTGAAAGGAAGGGCCCTGACAGAGAAAATCACCCTCAGCTCCTTTTCACAGAGCTGTGCAAGCAATGGTGAAAGCTCATCTTCCTCATGAAATACAGGGGAATTCCTCCTCTGGAGATGCTGCTTGTTCTGAGCAGCCCTCACCTCAGGACTCCAGCACACCTGCAGTCCCAGGACAGGGCTCAGCACCTCCATTTCCTGCTATCTCAGCTTGACTGCATTAATGCCCAGCTTAACTGATGGCAGCCACCTCAGCACAAACCTGCTGCCTCCCCAGCAGCCCCAGCACATCCAGCTCCACGGGATTTACTCTCTCAGGGTTCCTTGACAATGCTCCTCCCAAAGAAAGGTCATAAGACTGACCACAAAAGTCACTTGTAACAAGAAAATCCACGTGCATGGGGCATTCCATGCCAACCAGCCCCTCCTCTGCTTCCTGCAGGACAGAGGATTTAGTGCCATGGATTTGGCCACTGGCTCATCTCACTGAATCTGGTTTTTGCTCCCCCATGCACACAGTGTGAGCTCAGAGCTCCCAGCCCCTCTTACCTCTATGCCTGTTGGTCGTCTTGTCAAACATTAGCATGGCATCCTCTACCTGCAAGACAAAGAGGGGAGAGTTGTGCTTTAACACAGGCTGGCAACTCAGACCCAGCACACCCAGCAGGGAGGGGGGACTCGGGCAGGAGCAGCCTGCAAGGAGCAGAACTCCTCGGCTTTGGCCAGAGGCAGCTCCTCCTTTGGGAAACCTGTTGCTTTCCCCCTCCCTGCCCTGGCTGACATCTGATCCTGAAGGACACAAGTGACCACTGAAAGTGCTGGTCCTGAACAGCCAAATATCTCAGCAGCTCTTCCAGGACACATCAATGCCTGGCCCTGCCCCATCTCCCTTTTGTAGGGAGACCAGCAAGGGCCGAGGGAGGAAGTGTGGATGAAAATCAAGCCCATGACTTCCCCAAATTAGAGTCACTGTCTTGGCTGAGAATTAGGTTAAAAGAGGTATGAGCAGGGTAAAATCTGGTCAGCCAAGAAAGGTATTCAGGGGTTTTCAAAAGGGCTTTTGAAAAGCTGGAGGAAAGAGGGGAGAGGGAGGAGGGAGAAACTTTAATTCGCATCAGGCTCGGCATTTCCACTTCAGAAGAGAGATGACTGATGAAACGTATTGAAGTGCAACCAAATTGCTTTCAACTTTCATTAGGATTTGCATGATTTATTCCACCTCCATTTAATCTGTGCAGCCACACCTAAAATTTTGCACTTACTGCACAAGGATGTAGTGCTGGGGTTGATTTCCCAGCATTATCACACCTTGAGCTGCTGTTCTGAGGCTGCAGCAGCGGGGGCAGGTGGGTCCCTGTGCCACTGGACACGTCCTGGGCAAGCTCTGAGATGAAATTACAAACTTGCAATTCCCTGTTGTAAACTCAGGGATGATGAAAACCTGTAACACTGAATGACAGAAGGTGTTGCAGGAAGGGAGAAGAACTTTAAAGAAAAGGTTTTGTCCTCTAAAGGACTCCACTGCTTGTCTGGGGCGTGGCTTTGGAATTTTTTTTTTTGTTTGTTTGTTTGTTTGAAGTTTTTGGATTTTTTTTTCCACCAGTAATTCTTCTGTACTTCCTTGGGCTTGTACTGTGGCTTTCTATAAATCATTTACTTTAGCTAAGTGATTTACAATGCAGTTACATGCTCTCCTCATCTCATACAGTGCCACCAGAGTCCACTTGTCCCCCCACATGCCCTCTCATGCAGCAGAAAGACATCAAGCCTATGGCTGTGAAAATATTCTCAGCCCTGGCTGGGAAAAAAGAGTTTGGGAAGGTGGTGAAAACACAAGCTGACCCTTCCTGAAGTTCTGAAATATGTTACAGGAGATTGTAAAAATATACACTGCAGCAAAACTTTACATGACGCCTAAAATTCACCTGAAAAGCCACTCTCTGCTTAAGTTGTTCTCGCCTTTTTTTAGTCAAAATGGTTTGCAGAAAGTGCTGGCAATGGCCTGAGACGGTGCAGAACTGCAGGTCTCCTGATACCCATCTTAACTGAGACCTGAAGACGCTGATGCACTGAGAAAGGCAAACTGCATTCAGTTTGTCCTGCTGTCTGTCCTCCCTCCAAGGGGGAAAACTCACCAGGATGAGCAATAGCAGGAGGCAGATAAGGACCAGGCTGCCCTTCACCCTGCACGCTGCTTATCTCTGCTCCAGGGTTATGTTTGCTCAGCAATCTTTATTTTTCATTCTCACAGGTCCTGGCCTCACTGGAACCCAAAATTACACATTGCACCTGCTGCTGCTTCCTGGGGCACTGCAGCTCCCTGCACCAGCCACCCTCTGTCCCTGCTCAATCCCTGCTGCTAAAGGTTTAATATGGAACTTTTCTCCCTCCAACCCCATCCCAGAGAGCTCCTGGATGTGCAGAGCACAGACCCAGCAGCCCAGGGAGGTCTCCTGTCCCCTGGCCCTATGTGCAGGCTCTCCAGGCTGTCCTGCCAAAGCGACACCTCCTCCTGGCAAGGACATTACTGGGGACTTCAAAAATGCTGCTGTGCTGGTTAGGGAGAGAAGAGATGCTCCAGCACGGCCATGTCTCAGCCCTGAGCATCCTGAGCAGCCTCACTGTGCTCCTCCAGGAGCTGCCAGGGCAAGGAGGGGCTGGTCCTGGCACCAGAGCCAGCTCTGGGGCGTGGGGGGCTCAGGGTGCAGCCCCTGGGTCACACCGGGCTCCGCAGGTCCCTTCCCTTCTCCCACCTGTCCAACCACCACCATCCTCTGGGCGAACACGGCTTTGTGCCATGGGTACCAAGCCGGAATGATGATCTTGGCAGGGATCTTTTTTATGCAAATAAATCCCTATTAGCAGTAACAAGCACGGGCTGCAGGGGCTAATCCAGGAGGGAGGTTTCCTGGGGCCCCAGGAGCACAGGCACTGCCCCCCTCCAACAGCACCGACTGCTGGGATCAGGGCTGGGCAGCAGCTCCCTGGAAAAGGCTCAGCCCTGCCAGCCCCCGTATGAAACCTGCACGGGGGGAGCGTCCCTGCAGCTGAGTTCAGACATGGCCCGAGGATGCCTTGAAGAAAAAATTATCAGTGGGGTGTTCTTTGAGCCAGCTGGTGCCCTTTCAACAATGTCTAATTGGTTATCTTTTCTCTTTCCTAAGGTCAGAACATTTTATCTCCTCTCTGCCCTTTCTGTGCTTACCCCACCCTGCGTTATTTTTTAGGGCAGGCATTGTAGCAGAAGAATAGCCTCTTTCCTCCATAGTCCGGTGACACAATGAGACTTCTTGAAACCTCCTGAATAGATAAAGTGCAGTGGCAAAAGGAAAATTCTATTAACGCTTTGCAAAATAAAACATCTAAGAGCTGGTGAGACAAGCAGGAGAAGAAAATCAATATGGAGAGGGCAGCGCGCTTAGAAAAACTTTTCACCAGTTGCAAAAAGGTGGGTATGGGAGGGAGGGGGGAGAGAAACTTATTAATGCAGAAAACCCATCAATGGTATGGAAATCTGGCAGAACAGCAAGAACTCAAACTAGAAGAATTTGAATATACAAAGGGCTGAATAGAATGAGCAAACCACACTGCCTCACACACACAGCCCGTTTCTCACGGTTCTCTGTGAAGCAAACACAAGCGGCTTGTTCAAGTTTTCATCAAGGAGAAATAAGGGACACAGTCAAGGTAACTGGCAGTAAACCCTGCAGTCAGCAAATTGATCCCTATTTCGGGGGAAGGGGGGAAAAAAAACCCCAACAACCCACAGCAGAAACTCCAGTGCACTCAGGGGCTCTGAGTTAACCCCCTCCTCCTGCAGCCCCTTGCTCTTGTTTTAAAGATGCTCCACTGCAACTTTCCCAGCTCTCAGCCCAAACCATGCAGCTCACACTTTGCATACAAGAGGCAAGGAAGGTTTTTCCGGGGTTAGAAGCACGACTGGAAGATGGAATCGCTGCCTGCAAGGCTTGGCCATCGCCCACCAGTGATGGCCCAGCACAGAGGGGGAGGCTGAGCCACCTCCACCCCGGGCACTCAGACACCCGCAGGCAGCACAAAGCCCCAGCCTCTCTCTCCCAGGTGGGGAATGGCTCCACATGGAGGCTTAAAGCACTGATTAATCCCGACTCATTCTGAGCACCGAGCGGGAGTTACAAAATGAACAGTCTCAGGACTTAGGGTGACTAAAAAAAAAAAAGAAGAAAACAAAGGCTTGCCAGTGAACACTGGTTACAAATGGACACTTAAAGCCCCCAGACTCCTCTGTCCCAGCACAGCCCATCCATACAGCCAATGCAGACCCAGTTTCTTACATAAAGCCTAACTAATGGGCTTCAGTTTATTTAACTTCTTTTTTTTTCCAATCCACTTGGGGCTCTGAGAAAAGGAAGGGCTCTACCACTTCATTACTCACTGCCTGGAAGGAGGAATAGGGGAGAATAGGAGGAAAGAAAAAAAACCTGGAGGAGCCAAAGGCTTTAATAATCCTAACAGTTCCCAGGGTTATTTAAAATATGCCCAACCAGTTCACAAAAGGCTCCACGGAGATAAATGTATTTGATTTTCTTCCACTTTAATGGAGGCATACATTTAAAGCAACAAAACCAGGGTGACCTAAATAAAATGACTATTAATTGTACTCAGAAAGTCTCTGAATTTAATGCAAGTGATCTAGCCCAGCATAAGAACATACAGTATCCTCCAATAATTCCTCCTACTTTCCTCCTTGGGATTTTCAACTCCTCTTTTCCACGAGGCAGCAGGAGCTGACCAGACCCATCATTCCCAGTGAGTGCCCTGTGAGACCCAGCAGTGGCTCCAGAAGAATCTGCAGGGTGGTGCTGCACAAACTGGAGCACCACTGCACACCTCCGTGTTCTGCTTCTTCCACTTGAGTCAAAGTTACTCACTGAGCAAAACTTCCACAATGAAACCACCATAACTACTGAGGGGACACACAGCAGCCTTTATGCCTCCTTAGCCAGCCCAGAAGGCTTTTCCTGATCCCAACCCTGAGTTTCCAACACATCCAGAGCAGGCTGAGGTGTTCCTGTGCTACCTGGGGTGGAGGGGTTGCTTTCCACAGACCTGGCACTGTGTTATCCATCCCTGCAAGGTCAAGAAGAATTAGGGCAGACAAACGGCATGACACCTGGAATGGATCATGGTGGCAATTCCAGGAGGGAAGGAATTACTGAAGGACAACCTCTGGCCCCACACAATTGGGCTGTGCCTCTCCTCCCTCCATCCCCGACTCGTGAACTTTACAGGTCTATCACCTCTCCTGCTCTTCCAAGAAAAGTGTGCTGGATATTCTGGTCTAATTCCTCAAATTATTTATCCACACTGCACAACTCCTCCAATATTTTGTTTTCTGAAGCAGAAAAACCTCTTAGCTGCCAATGAACTGTCAGGTGCTGTTATTTTAAATGCGCATGTGAAATCCACGCCACAACCTCCCCCCACATAAATTAAGACAAATGCCTATTGCATGGCAGACAATTTGAAACAGCTCCCCCACACCAGCCCGTGGGCTTGATTACAACAGAATTAAACAAAGAAACAAATTATCCCCCCCCCTTTCTGTCACAGGCACTC